CCTCCTCCTCCTCCTCCTCCTCCTCCTCCTCCTCCTCCTCCTCCTCCTCCTCCTCCTCCTCCCTCCTCCTCCTCCTCCTCCTCCTCCTCCTCCTCCTCTCCTCCTCCTCCTCCTCCTCCTCCTCCTCTCCTCCTCCTCCTCCTCTCCTCCTCCTCCTCCTCCTCCTCCTCCTCCTCCTCCTCCTCCTCCTCCTCCTCCTCCTCCTCCTCCTCCTCCTCCTCCTCCTTCCTCCTCCTCCTCCTCCTCCTCCTCCTCCTCTCCTCCTCCTCCTCCTCCTCATACATCTGCCATTTCACCCCACCAAATTCTGCAACCCCCAGTGTGCTGCAATGATTTGATATGTCTTCATTGAAGAGTACAATTGGTATGTTATCCTATCAAACCAAATAATAAATCACCCCAATCATATTAAATTGATAACTTACATCAAATCCTCCTAGCTTTATTGAAACAGATTCTATGATTATTTTCTCTGAAACAAAAGGTGAAACTTTCAGTTGCATTCAGCAATCAGTGATATTTTTATTCAAACACGTATTTAACACTCCGTATAAATGAATTCACTATTTTCGAAAAACAAATGGTAAGAGTTGTCGATTTTTCAGGTTGGTGACTCAAAAATAACTTTTATAGGACATGCAAGGAAAAAGTTGAGATCCGAAATTCTTTCAGGCATCAGTGAGTTTTCTTCAAGCACATATTTAGCTGTGTAAAACACTCAAGCAAATTCACTATTTTTCCAATTTTTCCAAAATTAAAGGTCGATTTCCAGGGTATGGTAACTGAAAATATCTCACTTCACACTTCAGACCTAGTACAAAAATTTATTCAGGCAACAGTGATTTTTATTCGAACATGTACATAACACTCAAGCAAATTCACTATTCTCCGTAAACAAAAGAGATAGATTTTCCAGGAACTCAAAAATATCTAACTCAATGTTCACAGCACAAAAGTTCAAACCAAGACTCTTCAGACATCATCAATGAATTTTTCTCAAACATCTATTTATATATGTGACGCCCTGTATAAAGCAAATTCACCATTTTTCCAAAATAAAAGTTTGATTTTCAGGGTTTGGTAACTCAGAATATCAATTAATAAGACAAAAGTTCAGACCTACTACCAACATGTATTTAGGCAACTGTGATTTTTATTCAAATACATATACGACACTCAAGCAAATTCATTATTTTTGTAAACAAAAGATAGATTTGACAGAAACTCAAAAATACCCAACTCAATTTTTACAGGACAAAAAATCAGACCGAGTCATTTCAAACATAAACAATAAATTTTACTAAAACATCTATTTATATATGTCACGCCCTGTATGAAGCAAATTGTCTATTTCTCAAAAACAAAAGGTGAAACTTCCAGTTGGATTTTGTATATAACTGATACATCAATCACCCTATATATTTTGTGTCTGTAGCTTGTATCAAAGTCGATTCTTCAGACATCAACAATGAATTTCACTCAAACATCTATTTATATGTGACACCCTGTATAAAGCAAATTAACTATTTTTCCATGACTTCCAGTTGGATTTTGTTTATAACTGCTACATCAATCACCCCATATATTTCGTGTCTGTATCTTATATCGAAGTCAATACCTATATTTGTTTCAAACGATTCGTAATCAAACATGAAAGCATCATCTAGCAGACTAGTATATATACTTCACTGACTACCTGAGGAGTATTTCTTGTTTCTAGAAGTTTGGCAAAAAGTATGCGTTTTTTTTCGTGAAAAAAACTTTGGAACACATGACCAGGTATCATGAATTGAATCACAAGTTTGTGGAATCAACAACCGGCAACTAAACACCCATATACAGATCAGATTATTGAAAAAACTTACACCAATACATGACCAGGTATCATGAATCGAATCACAAGTTTGTGGAATCAATAACCAGCAACTAAACACCCATATACAGATCAGATTATTTGAAAAACTTACCCATTTCAGACTTTTCACACAATGTAGTCACACAATTCAGTCACACAAAACTGTTCAGATATCACAAACACAACTGAATATACAGTGCTAGTCAGAAGTCCCTTCCCCCCCTCGTATTTTTTGAACGGGTATACTTATAATAATGAAATTTGGAGGGTGTAAATAAACGGATGTAGGCTTCTCAACTGGTCATAACAGGTGACGCAATAGTTTATTTCCACCCTCCAAATTTCATTATTATAAGTATACCCGTTCAAACGATACGAGGGGGGGAGGGGACTTTTGACTAGCACAGTATATATATGCCATTTTGAAGGACTTTCTTCGAAAAAAAATATCTGAAACAGTATCTTGAGCACTAACCATTTCTTCCTGCATTTCACTTCAACTGCATATTTCAATAGTAAGCCAACATTAAAAAAATACATGGAACGGTATCTTAAGCAATGACTTTTCTTCCTGTATTCCACTATAACTTCATTATATTGCAATGAAGAACCACTGATTCCACACGAAATTATCACCCAAAAATAACAACTATGGATTCAAAAACAGATGAGTGCTTTGAATGTACCTTGGCCACTACAAAATGCACTTGATTAGTCCGAATCTTCCAGTAATTAAATTCGAAACATATGGAATATGAAAGTGAAAGCAACCTTGCCTCGCGTCGCTCTTGAAACCGTTATCCACTCAATTCAGTTCAACGGCTCGATATACCGCTGCATTTAGCTTTTGCATTTATGGCAATAATGATTTATCATTATTTGTTCTTGAAAAAATGGAACATAGTAGGAAGTACCCTATAGATAGTATTTTCTTGAATACTAAAGTAATCCTTAAAATCAAACGGAATGCCTATCTACTAATACCTAAGAAAATAATTGAACCATGGCAGGTATGTTCTCAGTACCCTGAGTACTGCGTTCAATATAGTATGTCTCAGAATACTTGATACTGTGACAAGCAGGAAAATCTTCCTTGGCTCATATGAATTTCTGAGATGCTTCAGAATCATATGT